ACCAAAGGGTAACAAAATTTCAATAAGGGTCACAAAATTTCATATTATATATTAAAAGTTAACAAAATATGGGCCAACTTTTTCATTTATCTAGGATCTAATTTAAAGGTCTTAGCATATAATCTATCATGACTGACAATTATTACAATATTCATCTTTATCTAATTTTATTGGGTAAAAACATTCTTTGCAAAGAGTAATATTAATATTTGCAAGAGTGTCTTTATAGGCAACCATTATTTTCTCATAAGTTATTTCTTGTATCTTTGAATATACAGGTTTTGCTGACCGAAGTCTATTATAGTATTAGGTAACATAATAATCTCTGATATGTAATGAGCAACGACCAGAAGTTGAACCAGTTGGTTTATCACATTCACTACAAGGTATTCTTCTTTTAGCTTTCCAATGATAACTACACCCTTCGAGATGCATGCTGTTTCTTCCACAAATTTTACCAGTATTATGATAAAATAGGCAAGTATATTCACCAATCATATTATATATATACTAAATAATTATTTAAAGAAAAGATTTTATAAAGTATTATATACAAAACTTTAGATAATCAAAACATATCATATATTCAAATGTTATCTACTAATAAAAACATCGATCAGTTATCCAATGAGGCTAAATCCTCAACTGAAAATCAATTAATGCCTAAATGGCAAGATATTGCTAAAGCTATCAAAAAGATAGTTATAGTAGCAGATTATTGCGGAAAGCCTAGAGATGGAAAATTTATGCAAGTCTATAAAAAGCAATACAGAAATTTATTTAATACTGAAGAACCAGATGAATATATAGTAGAATATGCAAAAAACAAATTTCTGAATAAAGAAAAATATATGGAGATGAAAGAGCAATATAAACAATGGTATAGATTCGAACCCAAACTATTAAAAGCTATTGGAGATCTTAATCTTTTATATTATAAATTAGCAAAACCATATTTCAAAGATTTAACTAAAATTCGAAGTGAAATTGATAACTTCCTTGATAATAATGAAATTGATAATATAGATAAATTTCTATCAGAAAATTAAACATGAAGCATTTTACAATCATTTCTTAATTCATAAGTATCCATTTAGGGGTTAATTCTATACCTTTACAACTTGGAGCTCTTCTCTGATAAAAGACCGCCTTGGACCATTGCCTTCATCATCTTCTATCCAATATAAGATTGGCTGATTTTTTTGTATTAGGGCCTTTTTAATATGGAAAACTTTAGGAGACCAATTCATATCAGTAATATGTCTATTGCCAAATTCTAATTCACCAGGTTTAAGAAGATATCTTACTGAGTTATAATAAGTCAACCGAGGTTTGTCATATCCAATGGGTCTTCTATACTTTATAGCTGGTTTTGCAAATATCTTCTCACCCTTTAAAGCTTTTTTTACTGCTTCATTAGGAGACATACCTATCAATCTGGTTGGAGTATTATTAAAAGTATCATCATTGATACGAAGACTTTTAACCCATGCTCTAGACCTATCAGACAAAGATAAATGAAAATTTATAGCATCTTGACGAATAAAAGCATGTTTTTCAAATTCTTGATGATCACGTTTAGCAATAGCCACATTACGTTTGGAGTAAGCATACTGAATTTTTACAGTATCTCTATCAATGATTAAAACTTTAGGCCAGCTAAGAGGGCAATTTGGATCACCATAAATTTTCATAAACATTTTAGCTAATGATGTCAATGACTTATTAGTTAAAGCATAACTTTTACAAAATCTAGTTGTTACATATTTAATACTCCACTGTGCTTGTAAATTCGGTTGCCAATTTTATCATGGGGCATAAGCGTAGTATCAGATTGATGCATTTCATTTAAATTTTGAATTTCATCAAAAGATGCATACTGAATAAAACATGGTCGTGGTTTATGAATTTGATATAATGCTTGTTTATTTAGCCAATTTTTTATATCATTTAATAAAAAATTGTATCTAGCTTTTAGAGAAGCTTCATACAATTTTTTCGCAGTTCTTTGATAGCTATTAGGTTGATAATAAATCTTACGCAAAGCAATAGATATATCTAATTCACGAGCTTTTTCAGAATCTACATAAATAATAGGAATAGATAACATCTTTTCTTATTATAGTTTAAAAAAAGATGGCATTGCTAGAAAATATATCATCTAGTAGAATTAATCAATTTAAAAGCGATTTATTAGCAATACAAGATCGAGTCTGCAAATTACAACAGGATCTTGTTACAAAAGAGGATTATATTAATTATCTTGAAAAAGAAATCTCAATTCAGGATGAGGAGCTAGACCCATTGAGATCAGAAATTTCTAATCTTATAAAACAGTTAAAAAATGTATTTAAAGAGTCTGAAAAGTGAGAAAATTATATAGATTATTTAGAAAAGCAGTTAGCATTTTTTTAGAAAGAAATAGACAAGCTTAATGAAAAAATACTTAATTTGTATAAATCCGAAGGATTATTGCTTTGCAATAAAAATTCCAATAATACTATAGATATGGCACAACAACCAGGATCACCTAGATTATCTCTATCTGAAAATCAAGCTACAATCCAAAACCATAGAATTCAACGAGAGATTGACAATATTAGACAGTATTTTCAAAGCTCAATTACAATAGCACCTACAATAAATGGTATTGTAGATAACCTTAATATGATTTCTGATGCAGGTAAAAGATTAGAAAGGTTGGTACTAGATATATATCCACGGGCAAATGCTCGAGCAATTTATGCTGAAAATCGAGTAGTGAATTTGCAGACCCAGCTAACAAATTTGCAAACCCAGTTAGCTGATTTACAAACCTAGTTAGCTGACTCACAAACCCAGTTAGATACACTCTAAAATGACTATGACCTTCTTCATCAGGCTTATGAGGCCCACAAAACACAACATAATATATTTAAATCCTGAGAGCTTAATGGTCAAATTACAATCCGTATACAAAAAAGACAAATATTAGAATCGCTTCTAGAAAGATTTGCATTAAGATTCAAAAATAGACGAACCTAACAGCAATTACAAGATTGTAAGACAGATGGGGCAATTACTATACATCTTTTAAATCTTACAGCAAATCGATACACCAAATAGAAAAATAAATGCAAAACTCTAGAAAATAATCAATTACTTACTGATATTCAGCTTGATATTAGATGGAATAAATGGAATAAGTAGAAAAATCGGGCTCGAAATTCTGAACAATTAATTAATAATTTGAATCAACAAATTTTTGCACTTCAGAATAATCAACCTATAAATAACCAATATAGAGGAATGGCAGGATACCCACCTCCAAATTTTTATGGTCATCCTGATGAGGATTCAGAAGAATTTATTGATTCTTTTCGTTCATATCTTGTAGCTGTAGGAATTGATGTAGCAGCTGGACATGCTCACAGAATTCGAGCACATGGTCTTTTTGAAACATGTTTTAAGGGTGATGCTAAAGATTGGTATGAAAGATCTCTTTGAAGAAAGAATTGGGAATTGAGAAATTTATTAGATAATACTGGACAAGCTACTTTAGCTCTGGCTCAAGAAAGAACAGCAGCGCAACTTGGTGCAAATTTAAGACATAGTGCTGTAGGCCAGGCTGGAAATATTGTTATTCCTGCTCATATAGTATTTGATAAAGACTGGTCTTTTGCTAATGGGCGTCCAACTGATCGTGTTGTAAATCTACCTATGCTAATGGTGGACAATCTATAGTAGCAGATGGAATTCGACTTGGGCAAGCAATATACTGGCTTAAAACTAACTATCCTACAGTTACTGCAAAAAAACAGAGAATGCTCTTTGGTTCAACAGTTTAAGGCAGTGATCCTGTAGGTTGATTTTATTCTAAGTTACGTAAACTTGCTAGGCTTGCTGGTATTGATGAACAACAAATTCGATTACAATTTATTCGTGGTATCTCTCCTGATAATCAATTAGAAATTTGACGTATTGGAATTAACAAGCCTATATCTGAATTGCTTACAGAACTTGAAGAAATTGAAAGATATAAGGCAAAGCAATTATCTGGAGCATATTCTATTCCAAAATCTGCTATAGAGCATCAACAGCAATTTTATTCTAATGCGGATATTGACAAGCTTGTAGAAGAACGAATAGCTTCCAGAGAAAAACAAAGTCTAGCCTCAGAGAAGCGCATCTTTGAAGCAAAGCCAAAACAAGTATCTCAATTTGACTCTAATACTGAAGCAATTAGACAATTTATAGAGATTATGAAGCGAGCTAAAAAGACTTTAGCTAAAAAGCCTGGTCCTGGTAAAGAAAAAGCAGACAAGATTCATATAGATCGATTCTTAGATGACCTTGTAAAAGATGATACTGATCCTAATTCTAATAGTTTTTATGATAATGATCCTGTTGAAGATATTTGTAAACAATTAGAAGACCTTCATATTAATCAGACTAAAATCGCTAAAGCTATGAAAAAGATTTCTAGCAAGCCTAAATCTTCTTGTCGCAAAACTAAATCAAAATCAAAATCTAAGACCCAAAAAAAGAAATCATCAAGTTGATCAAAGCATGTTAATGCCCATATAAT